TTTTAACTATTTTATAATTGAATGTACTATTACTACAAACATCATGCAATAACTGACTGAGTAAATGTTTTAATTTGTTATCCCTTCTATTATATAATCAGTGTTTGCGGACGAGTCCATTAGTTCTGATTTCAAACATAGCTACTGAAAACAAAATTATTCATATTCGATTGTGTTTATCACAGCGCAACGTCAAGATTAGGAAAAATAATGCAAAACTTATGGAAATAAAGCATCGTAATCCATTTACGTGGATCTAGAAACTATCGCTACCAGTGAATAATCTTTTTTGAGCCGGAGAAGCGCAACGTCGCTTCGCCCACGCACAGCGCACTATACAAACCAACCTGTATTTTCGCAGAAACTTCAACAATCCAAATTGAATCTTATACCTACTGGTATTGAATACTATTCGCGAGATTCTAGGTATGCTGTTAGAGCTAATGCAAGACTTTACTTTACCGACTTGTTCGTGTCTATGCCTCATTTACACTTATCCAATAACATTTTTCTCGAGTCTTAACAATACCATTTCAAACTATGTCAAATGTTTTCTATGCTTAACCTGCTTTTATTTACGTAATTTTCTTTTATAGTTCGTACGTTAAATATAAATAATTTGACGAATCATTTTAATTAGGTATGTAGGTACCACGCATGTGTTCATGCTGGACATCAGTTACTCAACAATATTGCTAAACAACGATGTATGAACGTAATATTTGCTCGTCTGCTATCGTCACAGTCAAGTGGCGAGTTGGAGCTACATATAAGTGAAAGCGAGGCTTTATTCTCGACACCGACTCAGTTATTGGCACGGGATCACGCGATTTATCGGCCGCGCCCGCGACGCCGCCGCCCGCCGTTGCCCGTACCGCCGCGCCGTTTGAAAGACACACGTGCCGTGACATTCGCGCCTCTTCTATTGTCTCTACATACGCCTGGAAAATATTCCTTTTAAAAGGATATAGCAATAAATATTAGTAACTTTATCATACAATCAATTATCATTTAAAAAAAGCGAAGCGGAGATCTTTGTATAATTTTACCATATCGTAGATAAGTGTAAACAGATAGAATTTTTATGTTTACGATGATTCATAACATGCAACTATACACAATACAATTAATAGGTTCTCCATTAAAGGTTTATACTCATCACTATAAGCTGCAACTTAAAATTGCAATCTACAAAATGCACATTTATATGGCTTAATAAAATTAACAAGCAAATATGAACATTTATATAGCACATAAATCAGAGCTATAAAAATTTTCGATGAAAGCTTTCTCTCTTACGAACGTGTTGAACCACACCACAGGCACACTAACAATTCCTATTGTAGGTACTTGGCTTAACCACAGGCTCATAATTATATTGCAACTATGAGCCATGTTATGTTGAATATGCAAGTTGTCACAACGACTAGACTGGGAGTATCGCGTGTAAGAACGCTTATAGGGCTGCCATATTCTGACTTATTGGTTTTACAAACGAGATACCGGTGACTATACGTTAGCCTCAATTTACACGTACTAATTGACTAAGGTGGAAGCAACATTATAGGATTTCTAAAGTGACAGAATTTTCTAATTTTAATTTCAAAAACAAATTCTTTGAAAAAAAATACTAGAAACCGTAAACGACTTACTACCGCATTACCGCACCGAATTACCGCAATCGTAAATCACAAGTTATTAAGAGAGATACAGAGCTTTCGAGGATCTAGGCTGTGCTACTTAATAATCAAGGCCAGTTCAAGAAACAGTGAATCTAGGAATCAAGTATTATTGTTGTGCAGTATTGAGAAGCTTTAATCCCAAACTAAACCTTTGGAACAATTCAAAAACACTGCTAAATTTCTTTAAAAATTTGGATGTGTGCACAACCCTGTGCTTAATGTGATTAGCTTGTGACAGTCAGACTTTATTGATCATGTTTACAAGTATTATGTAGTAACTGGGGTCTAATTAACATTTGCAAAGAATTTTATGTAGCCTATGGCATCACCCGTAGCAATTCATCTTTGAAATTACATACGTTTCAAATCACAAGGTTAAGCAACTTGATTTTATTTATTACGTATTAAAATTAAGATGTAGCCATTTCTCATTTCACAGCCAGCTAAGTTTCAAGTGTAGGTAGATAGGACTAGTATAGAAGGGGTTATAAATTGTAACAATGTCATATCAAGAGTGGGTTAGGTAATTTATTGAAAGGTGCGCATTGAAATCACGTTTATTTGTGCGCACGCGCCGACGTCGCGCGACGTTACAAATCATGCTTATCGCTTGACGCGACTGCTCCATTGCCGCCACCGGTCCTAAACCTAGACGGATCTAGATATTTTCCTACGGTAAACATCTTCGGCATTCACACAAGTCTGGCCATGTAAGGAGCTGTGAGAATTACCTACTGCATAATTTGCCCTCATTATCAGTAAGATACGTACTTGTAGATTTGTACAAAGTACAATAAAGATCAATCATTCGTATAACACGGGTATCGTCTCGTTGGCGCAATTTTTAGTTAGAGTTAGAGGTTCTACGTCGTGACGAAAACTAATCGGGCATTCATTATCATTATCTATATTTTATCTGCGTGCTGCATTAATAATGTACTCGTTTTAAAAAGCATAAATAATTAAATATAACAATAACAAAGTTCTTCACAAACGAGGTCAAATTAATGTCGAAACCCGTTCAAGTTATCTTTAAAACGATCAATTATACCTAATAGGAAAAGTTCAAAGTTCTAATAGGTGTGAATTCTAATTGGTACTGCATATCGGCATTCGATCTTGGATTAGATAATCACGATGCAAATACGTACAGAATTAATTAATGAGAATGCATTGGATTGGACGTAGCGCGGGTACGCAGCGCACGCGCCGCAGCGCTCGTGGTGGTCGCCAGTGACCAATCACCGCAAGACGCACACACACGCTCACTCATTATTAGGTAAACATCTTTCTAATTGGCATTTGTGTAGGCTGATGGGGATGTTCTGTTGCCAGCATAGTTGCAAATTAAGCTATTGTGTACCTATTTCACTAAAACTTTCGAGTTTTGACGTGGACATGGCTTAATACAGGGCTTTTTTCTCGTTTACCCTTTTAATAAACACCTCAGATTCTACTAATATGATGCAAGTTCTGTTAGTTTTGTTTAATAACAAGTTGCCTACGCTTCACTAAAGCATGTACCAAACGTTTTTACCGCAAATCGTCAATAGATATCCCTATATCTCATTAGATAAATACTTTTTATTCTAGTTCTTATTACATAATCGAATAATTGAAATACGACCTCGATAATATCGTAATTCTAAATATTACGATAAAAAAGTGCCAATAGTTAGGTATCTTATCTGAGAAAAACGTGCACTTGCCTGACAGGGTCGGAGGTTAACAGGCAGATCTTTATCTGATTGGACAACTTTCTTACTGGTAAGCGAAACGATAACATTATGGTTTTATTGAGATAAAACTTATTATATTATTATTAGATTAAAATATTGTCTTTTGACGTAAAATAATTTTCTTACCATAGGTAAGTATTGCTTTTAAGCTTGCGTATATCAGTAATAATTTGAGGAAAAAATATTATAAATGCCAAGCAAGAGGAACTGACACTCTGTGTCAGTACAGTCAACAGCGGATTTAGTATATCATTAAACGGATGGATGTTGAAATGCCGAAATATTTTTTATTTCTGCTGAACAGCTTAACTTTTATGCCTTTAGAGAAAAAAATGAGCAGGCGCATCCAGAAACTTAATACGTTTAATCTGACATATTACGCATTTTTTTCGCAACAGTGAACTTTACAAAATTCGTGCTTGAAGGGATGACGGAGTAGAGAAAGTTTTCAAAATCTGGATCATCAGAATATCATGCTTTCGAAGTCGTGGGATTTTACTGTCGCATTGTTATGAACAAGATTTCATTCATCGGCAGATTAGGGTTCCTTCCATGAAATAAAACCTCAGTAACAACTTTTCCCGATACAACGCTTATTTCATACTTTCATACTACAATACCTAGGTGTAATTAGTACCTAACTACATTATCGTAGTCGTAGTTGGTTATTATTATAACACCGAATTACGAGCTACCTAAGATAATTATGAGAAAGTCGAGGAATCAATTACAGTGATTCTGATTGGAATTGTTGACAGTTAGGATATATAGATGAAAAAATGCGTCGGTCTATCAATATAAATGTGATACCGCCACTGAAATGTGATACCGCGCTGTACATTTAAATAATTATGGCTTCGAGACAAAAGCGAATTCTCGGAGTTCTATTCACGAGATTAGTTAGGTAGTAGAGTAAGAAGGTACAAGCGGGTGCAAGCCCCGGGTGGTGACCTCGTGGCCGGGTGACCGTCGGCGGCGGCATGGCGGGCGATGGCGCCCACCGTCTAATACCCGACCCACATCCGACCGGTGCCGGTCCTCGCTATTGTCTCGCGATAAACTCGCCGGTTAAATCATTACTTAGTCACAAATTGGAACTAGATAAAGATTTAGTATCATGTTTACTAACACACATGTATTACACACATACCCAGGGCTAGTGAGATATTAAATTATACAATTGCAATACACTACTTGTGATGTTTGTCTAGTTGTTGGTGTATAACACTAGTTTGACGATAAAGAACATAAAAATGTTTTTCGTGAAAATTTAAAAATACCTGAGAATATTGATTATGATAAACTCATGTTTTTGACATGTCTACATTATTAAACCATGTCAGGAAATAGCAAATAAAACAAAGACAATTTATATCAAATCAAATAATGTTTTATTTTCCGTGTATAGAGGTAACAGAAAGGAACGCGATTCGGCAATTGGCTTAATACTAGCCTCGTGAATATGTATACTATACATATAAAAATAGCATCTTAGGACATACTGTTATAAAATTTTTGACGAATATATTAATCATTTATAATTAAGGCACTTTGTACATGGCTTAGGATACATAATATAGGTTTTAGTAAGTGTATGACACTTGGCATATGCCACATGACTAGCAAAATCGCAACGAGCGCGACTGAACTACCTTAACTTAACTCTATGTTACAGCTAGGAGTCGAAATTTACAATGATTCCTCAAATAGTTACGTACTTACGACACACAACAACTTATTCTACATCGTAGTAGGTACTTATAATAAAAAGTAGAGTACAAATCGTGTACAAAAATAATTTAAGTTTAAATTAGGGTTTTGTTTGTAATGATAACACAAATGTTACTATAGTCTACATTATGATCGAGATCGTAACGCTTCGAAGCTCAGTCTTCTCAGTAGGCGTGGATAGTAGCCTGCGGTGGCAATTGCTGGTGTGGGTGCGTCACTGGTAACGATTCTGGTCTGTATTCGTATGAAGTATTGCCAGGTGACCCGCAGCCACCTTCTAGGTGTTTACTCAGTAAGGACATACGCGAGAAGGTCTTTCCGCAGCCGGAACATGAGTACTTCTTAACATCTGAGTGGGTTTGAAGATGTGCGCGTAGATTCGATCTATCAGCAAACGCTCGGCGACAGTGGTGGCACGAAAACGGTTTTTCTCCCGTGTGTGTGCGAATATGGCCCTGAAGCAACCAAGGGCGCGAGAAAGCTTTGCCGCACAGATGACATTTGCAAGGCAACGTATGAGTACGAATATGCATCTTAAGAGCACCCAAAGACGTGTACACCTTAGCGCAGTATTTACAACTGAAAGATTTACGCGCCAAACTGCCTTCCGCAGCAGCACAGTGATACTGCTGATGTTTTGAGAGACCAGAGTATGTGGAGTACGATTTTGCGCAGTCTGGACATTGGTAGCGTGGACGGCGCGGTGCGGATACTGAGACCCCCGAATCAGATGATACGGAACCCGGAGAGCGAAGATCTTCGGGACAGGGTGGTGGTGAGCAAGAAGACGGCGGAGATGCCGGCGAGTATCTAGCATATAGCGGCGCATGCGCAGGAGATGATAGCGTCGGCGCTGCAGGATACAATTCTTCCATAGGGTAAGGCGCGTATAGGGTGGGTAGGTACGGGTACTGTGGTGTTGGGCGTGCGAGTTCTGTAGGTACAGGCTCGAGGCGAGCTCGGCACGCAGCCAAATATTCCAGATGCTGCTGCTGTGCCCACTCGCGCGGCTCTGCCTTTACGGCAGCTGCACATACAGGCGAAGAGGCTTTGCTTGGGTAATTACCAGTCTTCGAAAGATCTTCAGGTTTCGTGCTTAAATTTTCTGGTTCATCGTTTTCTGTGTCACCTGATGGACAATAGGAAAATACGTCTGCTTAAAATTCTCTCCACTTTATAGTTAGCAACTCTAAATATAACATATTTTTAGAAGGGAGAAAGTTGACCGGGGAAGGTAACCTTCCGAAAAATATTAAAGTACAGTTCCATGTAAAAATCTGTCTTTCTTTAAAATATTAAGATTTAAGAGCTAAACCAATTTAATTAGAGAGATTATGTACATTTTCAAACATTTAAAATTTAACAAACTAATTATTGTAATGTGATAATTTATTTTACGTGAAATAAGAAATACTTACAATGATAATCGTAATATAGTCGCGTGGCCAGGTGGGCGGGGTGCGGTGGAGAGGTGGGCGGTGTCGCCGGCCGCTCCTCCCGCACCAGCACCGGCCGCTTCTTCAGCGGGCAGTGCGCATACTTCTTCGTCATCATGGCTCGAGATGTCTGCGAATCCTCCACAAGCATCTTACACTTTGCTCACAAACACTCAATAGTCTTTGAAAGATAGTTCTCAAACGTGTCACAAGTTCACAACGCTACGCTCACAACAGTCCAAACATCGCAAGTTGCGTAGAAGTCGTGATAGAGTATCGTATTCGAAACGAGACAGACGTGCACGCGCACTCATCGGGTACGGAACTCGAAGTGGTGCGGTGAGAGAAGTGGTGCGGCTTTTATGCACTCCCCGGCAGTGCCGGCCAGGTGGCGGCGGGTAGGCCGCGCACGTGCGCCATACCCAATCGGCAAAGGGCGCGGGGCCCCGGCCAATAGCGGCGCGGCGCGGCGCGGGGCGGCGGCGGCACCTGCGCCTCCGCACCCGGCAGCGCAGCCTCTCTGTGCGATATGCCCAGCTTCAGCTTCACACCGGTTGGAACCGTCTCGTCTGACTGAGCTATTTTTTGCACAGTTTTCGGGGTTAAGCACCTTTGAACTGGACTACAGTGTCTCTTTCAAACAAACTCAATTCTTTGTTAGAGCCATTATTTGTTGGTCATAAAACTTCGTATATGCAGTTTATACATAAAATATACAACTGGGTATATAATACGACTACTATGCGTTTCTACTGTATAGGTGTCAATATTTTTGATAAGGTGCATTTACAAAGTAGGCATGTTTCCTGAGTAGCATCTCATCTCATATGACACGAACAACCTAGCATTGTTGCTAGCCTTGGCCCAATTCCGTAAATTATTTTAGCCGTGACCATTTTATAAACTTACTTACTTTAATATACCTACTGTGTAACACGATTCTGCAAGTGTTAATAATGTAGAGCCGCATCGTTTGTTCCAGCACAACACAGAAAACAGACGGGATTCGAAAATATTTTTCCAAATACCTATCGCCGCATTTCATAGATAAGTTAGCAGGTAAATAAGGCATGATACATAGAACTCAATCACATTTCCGTTACAATGTCATCCTGTTAGTTCATAGGTACTCATTTTTAGTTTAGAATAATGGACTCATATTCCTTCAATTGGAAGATAAAAACCGGCATACAGAACCAAATGTGGAAGTGTATATACTTCTACCAATTACACATTAGAGGTATTGCGAAGAATTGCTTATCAAGTTATCACATTAATAGACGAGCACGGTCAGCACTCTACCTAGGTATTACAGTCTATGAACGTACGTGTCTTTCAAATACATACTTTGCGTATTCTATATTCCGCGTAACCTGTGTAGTGTCCGGATGGAATTTGACGATTATACATATTGATAAGCAACGTTTTTTACGCAGTTACATTTGTACATGTAACACTTTGTAAAATTGTTTTGATTTCGGAAAAATTCCATATCAAGTGATCCGTTATCGTTATGCTCACACACTTAGTCACAACTTGCGACGGTTTGACTTCGATAACAATAATTATACAGATTTATGTAGATAACCGGAAATACACAGAACCCGTTCATTCTGCAAATCGTTAACAAAAAGATTTCCTTGTGTGTATCAAACCAAACAAGATACGAGCCCCCTCCCAACGCGGAAATATAACGTTTACAAGGGTCTTTGTTATATTTTTTATACGACCAGTGTTAATTCCCACAGGTCAGGCTGTTCCCTGAGTAATTTAGGCATTCTCACAGGAACAAGTTCACTTTGAAGTTTTACAGGTAAAGTTCTCAAGCGAAGGGCGAATACCTTCAAATTGCGAGTCCGGTTTTTTAAGAACAAACGTAGCTTTTATGGCATGTGAAAATAATAGTACAATTTAAATGAATAGGCAATGCAAAACATCCTCGGAATGACAGCTAAAACTTTGTAGGAGCGTAGTCTGCACGTCAGCAGTAATACGTATCATGATGACGAGGGTTGAGTATGGTGAAATTTGCCTCATGACTCAGCCGCCGTACGTGTCAAAGGATCGACTTGTAATCCGCATCAATTGCTCCATTATGTTTAGAGCTGGTGTGACTAATCATGCTGATCAAAGGTCCACAATAACAATGTAATAGGATCTCTCGACGATCTCACCTTCAACTTTCAATACATAAGTAGAGAGTATCGAATCAATGCCATAAACAAAGCATCCGTCATTACTTAATGGGCTTGAGACCTTGTGAATGAATTCCTTATCGCGATCCATGCTTGGGAAATGTAAACAAAACAGCGGAAGATGGTCAATGGTTAAACAATGCATTAGGTAAACCATTTTGTCGAAATGAATAACATGAGTGATAATTAATTAGTGATGTGTTATTGTAAACACACTTATTTAAAAGTCAATTAAGAAATTTTAATTTTCGATTACAGAACTTTAAAAATACCGTTAATTGTGTGAGCACGTTGTTTTTAACATCGTATTGAACTAAACATAATAAATTCATTGTTTTATAATTTAGAAATTTGCAGAGAGCGGTAAAATTAAACAGTTTTTAGTACAATAACCAAAATGAGTGTAATTTACCAGTGTATTATTACAATATACAACATAAGGCTCAATAGGCAATTTTTATTTGGACTATTTGTTAACAAATCAATACTGAAATCGCCTCCTAAAATTATATTAGTTTTGGAATATTTTTTTGTTACATAAAGTAACATTTTCTCTAATTGTTTGAAAAATAGTTATTCGTCTCTTCTGTTCCAATACATATATTGACAAGCAAAATTTTATGTTTCCTCAATTCGGTTGCAAAGACTTCCAAAACATACTCCACCGACATGTTCGCTATCTCCTTCAACTCTATACTTTTTATTTCTTCGTGTAGGAGTATGCAAACCCCAACAAAGCCCCCTCTATGTTTTCTACAGAATGATGGTGCCACTTTAAAATTAGAATATTTTATTAAATCTAATTTCTCCTGTGTTAACCAAGACTCGAAAATGCATACTGCTCGGAACTGCTGATTTTGTTCTAAAAAAGCTTCCAATAGATGTTGTTTCTTGTATAGGCTTTGGAAGTTCTGATGAAGTATCTTAAAGTGTTGTATGTTGTATATAGTAGCGAAAGAACTTCCTGTTATATTATTTATTTCATTTTTGTGGTCGTCGTATTTATATTTGTTATATGCTCTATTTTTAGGCTCGGAGTCTGTGTAAATTATATTTTTATCCGTATTATTGTTGTTCAATTGAATTCGTTTCCCTTGTATGTATAATTGATTATCTCGTGTCGTCGCGTGGAGGCCAGTTTTTCGGGCTTTTATCATTTCTTTTCTTAATAGCCTTCTTCCATTTCGCTTCTTTTCGTCTAAAACTGGAGATATAGCTTTTCCCGTGCCCTGGAAGTGGTGGCTGTTATCTAATAGGTATTTTACCATTCTCTTGCTTATGAGCTTTACATTTAACGGCCTTTTTTATTCTGATATTTTCATATCATACGAGTTTCTTCTATATATCCCATTAGGTCTAAATTTAAGGTACTACGAAATATATCAATGATTCTCATATGAGAGCGTATTCTGGTTCCTTACTCATCACTATTTTCTTTGTATTTTCTTCCGTATTGCTTATAATAGTTGTTTTAATTATACTTGAAACCTTCAAATTGATTACGTATTACTTCTTAATTGCAAGTTAGGTTCCACTGACAAGAATGAGCAACTTTATGAGTTGCTCTTTGTAACTAGATATAAGGCAAATAGGTACCAGAAACTTGAAAGAACAAAACAGTTTACTCCCATGGATTTGTGACGTCCAAGTTCCAAGAACCTGTACAAATAACCCTTTTTGTATAATAAAGTTTTTGTTTCACGATAGTTTTAAACTCCGCAAATGGCAAATTTTGAGTAAAAGTAACTTTATTGTAGAAGTGTATACATTGCTCCTCAATGAATTTGTCACATTGACTGTCAAGAACAGTCAGTTTATTTTTTAAGTTATTCAAGGTCACGAAGTTTTACTACCATTTAATTATTTTTGGGAAATTACCCTACTAGTTTGTTATAGTTATTAATACAAAGATTGAACACTAAGAAAAAAATCTTCGATTCTCTTTTTTCTGAGACGAATCAGCGCCTTCCAGCAATCCGTGCTAGACGTGAGTGAAGAAATAGATTTCTCATAAATGGTGCTACGCCAAAAAAGTAGTCAAAAACCAAAAACAAAGATCTGCAAACAAGTCATGAAAAAATTCGTAAGATCTACTGGTTTGTTCTGTCACACGGTTTGTTGGAAGGCGCTGTTTGGCGATTTTTTCTTAATGTTCGATTTTTGTATTTTTGATTATAACAAACGAGTGGAGTAATTTCACAAAAATAATTGAGTATCATGGTAGTAAAACATCGTGACACTCAGTAAACTTTAAAAATTACAATTATTAAAGCGACATCTCTAGTCAGCTGCTGGTACCTGGCTGAGTGAAAAAGTAAATTTCTCACAGATGGCGCTACAGCAAAAAAGACGTTAATAGATAATTACTCAGATAAGACCTTAATATAATAGATTGCTGGAATAATTAGGTAATACCAAATAGTCAGTTCACTCATATTTCTCTTATTTGTATTATCTCTATTAAATTGTGAATTAGCTAAAATAAACAAATGTAACGATTTGTACGCATTAAAATGTTCGTTATTTTGTCGCGGTCACGAAATTTAACACATTTTGTTTTTTCTCATTAAGTGGTTTGTTAACCATAAACAAATCTACTACCAATGAAACGGCAATTGTTTTCGTCGATTACGGTCACATTAGTGCCTTTTAACTTTAAATATTGAGAAAGTATCATCAGCAAACAATACTATCATGAAATACATAAGATCTATACCTATATGAAACTATGTATATTATTAGTTGTATAATAGTAGTATAGAAATAGGTCTTAAATTTATTGGGACGACATAAATAACGAGCAATCAATCAACCAATTGACGAAAAACCATAAAAGCTTATTTTATTGATTTAAAGGCTTTAAGAATGTCATTTGTATACGCGACGAAACTTTAAATTGGTATGACTGACTCCAATATTGCTTTTAAATATGCAGTCAACAATTTATGAAAATTGA